CAACTTTTGATCCGTTCCATTATGTTTTTTCTCAGTGGTAGTGGAATAGAATTAAAATTTCAATTGTAAGCAAAATCTTTGTTGTATTTTAAACGGCTTTAGCTGACCAGCGTTGTTAATAACGCATATTAATATATATGCTTAATTTTTTTTTAAGAATAGTGGTGATCAAAAACATTTAAAAAGTAAGTTTATTAAAGAAAAAAGTAGTATATGTTTACTACCACTTTAAATATAAAAATAAAATTTTACGCCAAATGCGTAAAAGTTAGCAGATATGTTATTGCAACATTTGAAATGTTAACAAAGCTACTTACAAAAAATTTGATGGTAGATTCGTAATTAAATTAATTCATAATTTTCTGTTTTCACCTATCCTCTAGTTTAAAAAAAAATTTATACATTTTTTCAGATAGAATTCATATTATTATTCATCTAATATTTCACTAATATAAAATCTATGATCTGGATTTTTTAAAAATTCTGAAAAGCTATTTTGGGCTATATCGTTTTAAAATAGCTTCTTCAGCTCTGAGAAATGAATCAGAACAATTCCATAAAAGCTTTTAAAAAATCAAGGTAAAGTGACTGCAAAACTACAAATTGAAAAATAAATAAATAAAACCTTATAAGCTAAGTTAATTAAAAAAAAACTATTCTGAATAAAAATTAAAAACATATCCTATTTTTTAAACACGTTATAAAAACGCCTTAATGCTAGTCCCAAAATAAGTTATATAAATTATAAGCCCTGGGGGTTATTAGCAATGTACTTCTTACACCCCTGCCTGCCACATTCTTAATGAGAATATAAGAAGGCCGGCCTGCTTTCGCTAATATCCTTGTCTTATACAGGGTTGGGGCAAAGGGATTTTCGTACGGAAGGGTTCTGACTCGACTAGGAATTGTCTGCAGTGACCTACCACTCGATTTTTATTTCCTGCACACGGAAACGAAACGATCTCTCCTCTTCACTTATCAAATGGAGCTTGGGCGTAACATGGCCTTTAACCATAACAGTCAGTGTGGTAGTTAAATTACAGAATCCCTAGCTGCAAAATAACTTGGGCCCTCATTGGGACTTTAAAGCTAGATGTAATAATGCATGAATTTAATAGTATATAAATTTGAAGTCTTGATTATGTTATATCACTAAAAAAAGTGTCCCGCAATGGGTCAAATGTATTTGCACGGATCCCAACTACTCCGTTTTCAACAATTAATTTTATAAAGTGGTAAAAAATTCAAAACTAAAACTTGTTTTATTTTGTTTCATTTCGTCAATACTTCAATCAGTTCACCGCGATAGGATTGGAACAAAGTGGCTTGAATTATTTTAATCTAGTGATATGCAACACAACTGTTAATAAAATCTGCCAACCCAAAAATTAACATAAATTTTTCTACCACTAGAACACTTATTTCTACAAAGCGGAGCAAGTTAGCATTTCTGTATTTTTCTTCTATTTATCAGAATTTAAAAACACACATATTAGTATATGTGTTTCCTTTATTTATATGTAGTTAGCTAAAATCATTTTAAATTAAATTTATAAAAATTAAGAATTAAATAAAATAAAAAATAACAGTTTCGCTACCACTTTTAATATAAAAATAAAATTTGAGAAAAATCCGCAAAACTATTAACTGTTAGGTATTGTATGATAAGTTAATTGCTGTAAAGTAATTTATCTAATTTTACCAACATAGAAAATATTCACTTAACAAAAACTCATCACCACTTTTTAAATAGTTTTTCACTTTGTTAAAGCCTACATAGGCAGAGATGCCAACTTGCTCCAGAGAGCAAATAAATATTTTCGAGCGGTAATTTATGAATGTGTGATTCTTGGTTTAATAAATTCAATTTCTTAGATTTTTATCCTTCACTATTTCTAAATAATTCGAAGGCTTATATAATTCACCACTTTGTTCTAGTTAAATCATGCTACACCATTTAAAAAGTAAGCAAAATTAATCAAATATTTGCAAATTTTAGTTTGTAGTTATTTACCGTTTTTTTTTAATTATTATGGCGCATCCGGAGCAGTTGGCATACCTGAATAGGGCGTTAACATGTTAAAAAATAATGTCCTTATGAATTGTTTTGTTTAAGTAAACTAAAAGAACTTAAATTTTCAGCTGAATTTCAGCGTTCACTTTACAGTGGATATATAGTTTGCAAGCATTGTAGTAATTTAATAAGTTTCAAAGAATACCTTTTTATACGATATGTTCTTTTAAAAGCTTTTTGGTATATATTTAACATTTTAAAGCAAAGGGATTTTTTTATATGCATAGCGTCATTAATTAAATATTTTTCTAAACTTAAAAATAGGATAATTGAATATTTTCAAAAACAGTTTCGAATTTTGTCAGAAACTTTCGAACGATTAATATCTGGCATTATTCCAATGTAGTCCATTAAATAGTATGAAGTGTGCCTAAATTTGCATGCCAATCAGCTTTGCCCAATAATTTACACCACTGAAACTCTTTTGTTGTTTCATCCTTTTAAGTAAATTGAATTCAGAACATGACCAGTGTTTACAAAGAGATAATCTCTCTTATGGATTCGACTTAAAGTGCCATTTCAGTACGTTATTACTTTACTCATCAATCTGCTCAGAATTGTGTCACAAAGAGTATCATAAATTAATTTTTATATATACATAGATATTCTATATTCGAAACATAGTGCAGTTCGCAAAAGTTCAAGGGGTGAGTCATATCCATATGTTATTCCTCAAAATGTATTCAAAACAAGTAAATACAATAAGTATAATAAACTACGTTTCTCACTCTTTTTCTTTTATTTATTTATTTATTTTGATTAGTTTGTAAACCAACTGATTACTTTTCATTCGTCAAGCAGATCCGTATCGGTTCTTTTGACTACAGAAACCATACAAGGGTTGAACAATAATATAGAAATCTATTATGCTATTTAGCAGACATGATGATGAATCAGAAGTTAGAACGCTCTACTCCCAATGAAGTATCGCGGGTTCGAATCCCAGCTATGGCTGGTAGATACGAATTCCGCACTCGGCTCGCGCTGACCATTGGACGAAAAATATACTCAATAGTAGACGGATCATAGGATAGAGTCCCTTCTTGCAAACTAATCGTGGGAGGTTTTCCCTTTCTTGTAAACGCAAAATGCAGGTTAGTTCTCCACGAAGGAAAAATTTTCCCAATACTTGATCCAGGAATTCCCTTGTTTTCTGAGTTGGGTTCAAAATTACAAGACTATGGAGTTGAACATTGGTTGTCATAAACTCAAAATGGGTCGGCTGTTGGTTATAATACTAACTATCTGCAAATCTTTCTTTTAGCAAGATTTTCCTTATTAAATGAAAGCCCTTAAATTGGCTGTGTTGCTCAGATAATTGCATCATATAGGTTCTTAAATTCGTATAAATCTTTCACAAAATTTCTATTTAATTTAACTTTTTTACTCCAATTCACTACCGCTTGAAAAATTCTTTTGTACACATCTGAAGTGTAGGAGGGTACGCTATTATTTTTTTTTATCATATTAGTTAAGCCTTTGACACAGATGGGTTTTTAAACAAAAATATATTTTGGTATTTTTCAATTATATAAAACAGTCCATACCTGCCAACTTTTAATCCCTTCCATTATCATTTTTCCCAGTGGTATTAAAATGGAATTAAAACTTCAATTTTAAGCAAACAAATACGTTGTATATGAGCAAACTTAAGTTGACAACCATGATATACCGATATAAAACAAATTTTTTGAAGTTCCTAGCCCATCGGGCTATCTACTTCTCCATCGAAGATGATGTGGCAATAAGGGAAGATTGGGTAATACCATGATAGTAACGCATAGTAATATATGTGTTTAATTTTTGTAAGAATAGTGTGGTGATCAATATCATTTAAAAATTAAGATTATGAAAGAAAAAATAGTATATAATTACTACCACTTTAAATATGAAAATAAAATCTTCCGGAAAATCCGGAAGAGTTGGCAGGTATGACCGTCTAATAGTTACCAAAAGAAATCTGTTAGATTATCGGAATTATACTTATATAAAATCCATAAAAGGTAGTTGGAATTTTTTTTCGTTCATATTTAAAAATGCATCAAAAATTTTGCACAAATTAAATAAATTTCAATTATGAATAACTGCAAATTTGAAAAATTTTTGTTTGGACGAATTTACCTCTATCGTAGAAAAAGACACCTGTGATTCATGTTGTTTTTTATAACTATAAATTAGTAAATCTAGCATTTCTTATTTTGACCTAAATTAATACAAAATAATGAAAAAAATGTTTAATAAAAATTATGCGTCTAAGACTTAAGTCTGACAAAGTTTAATTTAAAGACAAAGTCTAAGACAATTTTTAAATTTTGATATGGCTGTGTAGGACCGGATTAAGTGTACGGCCATTCAAATTTTTGGGGCCCTTAGATTAAATTTTTTTTTCTGTTTATTTTTTATTTGTTCAAATATAAAAGTATTTATATATCTTCTCATTTAAGAAAGCAATATGATTAACATTATGTAAAAAAAAAAAAAAAATCTTTTTTTTATTAATATATATTTGAAATTTTTTTTAAAAGATCATTGTTTTCTTAATTTTTTAAAATTTATTTTCAAAAAATCCATTTTAAGGGGCCCTTAATCATTGGGGGCCCCAGGCCATGGCCTAATGCGTAATCCGGCACTGTGGCTGTGATGAACATAAATAAATTCCACCTGCGAAATTGGACAAGTCCTTGTCACCCAACACCAGGTAAGTAATGAAAATTGATGACCGGTTCTAAGTACCCCGGTACTAAAATTGTTAGCTGGTTCCGAATAATGATCATGCCAGATACCCGGAAAAATCACTGTTCCAAAATCTAAGAATTTGAATGTTTTCTAACTTTATGCGCGCTTATGCGCGTTCTTTCGCCGAACAATCCAATTTGTTTTTAGTACTTTAGATTAAAATGAATTGAATCTTTTTGTTTAATTTCAGGACTGGTTCTCAAGACAGCAAATGATCCTACTGGTTCTCTTCATCAACATAAGCCTAGCGATAATGTTTTACAAACTATTGTCATAGATCTCGATACAGCCAAACAACGTTTTCAAATCGATCAAATCGCTGCAAAATCCCCGAAAAGGGATTAATCTCTTGTTGCATCGCAAGTCCAGCGAATCTTTCTGGATACAGAGTCATAGTAGCTGTGGAACAGCCATATTGCTTTTTTTTTACTGGAAGCAACACTGTAAATCTCCCTCGCCTTTCACTGGGAGACTTAAAATACAGTAACTAAGCCTCCAAAGGAAAAAAAAACGTATTGTGTTTTAAGAAAAGCCAAGGTGACCCAACAAGGCTGGAAAAAAAAAGTGTTCTTTTCTATCCATCATTCACTAATGTTTAAATTGGTCACATATTTTTTATGCCACTGGCGCAATTATTTATTTATATGCCATTTTGTTTTGTTTGTTTCCTTGTTGTATAGAAAGAAATATTGATATTGAGGGTACTTCCTGAAAGTCCACAAGTTCCATGTTTTATTTTCCTCTTTTTTTTTCACTTTCTCTGTGATTTTGTCCTCGTGAAACGTCTCTGAAATTAAATGTAAATTAGTTTTGTTGAAATAATATTCAATGCTTTGACACGTTCGCTGTCGATCAATCGCTTACGCATCAACCAGCCAATGTACGTAGCTATTTAATAACTTCTATATCTTTTATGCGTTTACCACTAAATGTATTACCTTTTCATTAATCGTTAGCGTTAAAATCTTTCTAAATAAATTATTAATATAAAAGTGGCAACTTAATTCAAAATAAATTTCAAAAAGATATTGTTCATAAGATATTAGTAATTTAATTCTCTACAAAACGCTTCGACTAAATAATTAACATTTCAAAATGCAATAAAAATTATTTTTTTTATAAAAGTGGTAACATATAAAAAAGCGTTTTTTATTTAAATAAGGAATGTTTTTATATTTTTTTAAATATTATAATGCTTCCATTGTTCTGGGGACAACGAACGTGTTAAAAGTTATTTCAGAACAAAATAAATTCAAAACGTATACTTTTACTCATGATAGTTAAGACTTATAGTTTCCAAAACTTTAAATATAAATTTATAACATCTGTTCTTATTATATTACTTTATGTCTAAATTTAATTCTAATGTCATTCATAATCTCCAAACCTCAAAAAAAACCTACTTTCGATCCTCAGATGTATGAGTATGCAATCGTTATTTCGTCAAAACTAAAGCATAGGTGCAAGAGATTTTTAATTTGAATATGTTCTGATAAACAAGAATGTCTAGTTTATCTCAAACGCGATTTATTATTTTAAAAATTATTACTTTTACCACTTTCAAATATAAATTTAATTGTTTATAAAAAAATTTATTTGTTAAGATTACAAATGTTATCATTGTAAGCCTTATTTAAAAACTCTTAATTACATTTTAAATGATTTTTTATCCTTTTGACCAGGCTTTGAAGTGCTTAGTATTTAAAAAGCACCTACAGGAGATGGTCGGCAAATTGGAGAATAAATACCGTAAACCAGATTTAGCAGCGTCCTATTAAAATTAAAAATGGGGTGATGGCATCATTCATTACTTTTTAGTTGAAACAAATTTTTTATTTTCTAAGACATGCTAATTTATTTAGATTAAAAACATTAATAAATTATTTTTTAAGATCGTTAGTAATTACCATGATTTAGTAATTTATTATTTACTATTTCATATCTTATAGGACGCTGCTTCCAACATGTAAACTCGCTCCTTTGGAGATTTCAAAAAAGCATGTTTACAAAAATAGGTTACACTTGAATGTAATATGCGATACTTGATAAAATCAAATTTATCAACTCTATCTCAAATAGTAATTAGTACTTTACCAGCACACTTTGAAGTATGAGAAACACATTATTCCTTGACACTCGAAAAACTTTTGCAGTAAATTTTTTTTTTGATCACCGATATTTTAGAAATCTTTATGTTTTTTTTTTTCTAATTCTTTTAACAAAAGTTATTGCAAAGATGTAAGAATTAACAAAAATATTAAAGCTTACTAAAATGACAGTTTTATTATTAAAAAATGAGCCACCCAGATAAAAGACTTTCGAGTATTAAGGACATTGTGTGTAGAATTTTTCATGGCCAAACAATTAAACTTGTCACCAGATTTCAGATTTTTAAATAATAAACACAACACATAGTACTTCAGAAATGTTGCACTTATTTTAAACTGCTTTACAAAGATAAAAGCTAAAATAACATAGAATAATTTCGTTTTTCAATGAGCAGACTTCTAAGAGAATACCGTTCTATACATGTTTTTATGCAAGTTTACAAATGGCATTTTTTTTATTTGTTTTAAAGATAAATAAAACAGTATTAAAAACGGGAGCGTAGTTTAACATAAAAATCAAGCTAAGATAAACATATACATAATATACTAGCTTTAGGCTGTTGGATCAATGTCGTCCACGTCGTCTGAAAATGTTCTATTGTTTAACATCAGAACACAAAAAATTATTATTAAAAAATCTTCGTCTTTGTTAAATTTTGTAAAAAAGAGATATAAATCAGAAGCATTTAATGTAGGGTATATTATAAAATTGCAAATCTTAGTTTTTAAATTAAAAATTAAATAAATGTCAAACTTTCAGTGATAATTGGATCATCACAATTAATAAAACAATTAAATCGAATCAAAAGAAAACTGGTTCGAGTCACAAATTATTGATTTACAATTCTCGAATCGCAAATTTAAACGTGTCATGTGATAAACTAATCACCGCTGATTGCGAATCTTTGACTTTTTAAACTAACGAATTGAAACTTACTGAAAATCAAAATAATCGAATCAGTACCAAAAGCTATACGAATTAACTAACAATTTGATTCAAATTACCAATTTAGTACGCAGGTCTAGGTTGAACCCTTTCATAGTTGCATCAAATAATATTTCAAAACATTGAAGACAAGCTTATAAAACAATTTTTATAGGAATAATAAAAGCAATGCATTTCGTTCGATTAATTTTAAGCTGGAGCACACAATTTGTAAGTTGCAACTGAAGAAACCTTTTTTTTTTGCATTCAATTTTTTAACGAATACATTTCATTTTCTCACATTAACTTTTTTACAATTTATAAGACATGTCACTACACTTACTATCCGCCCATAGTGAGTTTAAAAAATTTCGCATAGTGAGTCTCACAAGTTTTGCACGGTTTCAGGCTTCAACTTTTTGAGCCTGGTTAGTATTCATTAGAATAGTGTATATTTGTAAATATCTTATATTCGATACACGATTTTAAAACAAACGTTTACAATTTTATCTTTCAACTTAATAGATGAATGAGATTGACAAAATGAATAAGGCTTCCTGTTTAACCTTCTGCTTACTGCTGGTGGACCGCATGTGATCGTACAACATGGAACACCATAAGCAAATGGTTAAAGAATGTTTACGGATTGAAACTAGATTGACTATATAACTTTGCATATTATTAAAACCAAAAAAAAAAATTTATGTGATTTTTTTTAGAGCAATCATATTCTAATTTTAAAACATAAAAAAAAAATTCTTTCACATATATGATCACAACAGTTTAATTCATAGCCCATAATTTTGACAAAGTGTTCCAAACGAAACTTTGTTAGGGTTATCGAATACTAAAGAAAGGAGATATAAAAAATTAAAAAAAAGTTTTGAGGGGGAATCAGCAAACAAGAATTGTATAAGCTTTTACAATAGGATAAATAAACAAAAACATTCAGAAATCCGTAAAAGTATGTTATATTTTGGAAGTGAAAATTAAAATAAGTATACAAGTATCAAAATAAAATAACAGAATAAAATAAATATAACAAAATAGAAAGTACTGTTCAAAAAACAATTTCGAAATGATATACGGATCTGTTCTCGTGTATGACTTGAGAGTACAAAAAATATTTGAGCTGCTGTTGTATCATAAATTGTATTAATAGGGGGGGGGCTTCAAATATTACGAATACTTTCAATTCTCTAATAGTAGAATAAAAATTAAATAATAAGAAACCAAAAGTTTATTAGTTAGTTCTTTTTGAATAGAATAATAAATAAACTTTAACATTTGACTATTTATAAATATTACAGATCATTCTTTTTTTATCTCCTTTATTTTGATTTCAAAAAATTTCCCCTGGCTTTGCCTGCATAAGGTATATAACTTCGCTTTAATTTAACATTTGTTTAAAGAAATCTATTTCATTCCTAAAACTATATTTGATTAAAAATAACATGAAATATAATAATATATTATTCATCCATATAGATAATTATTAGATTCTAGAGTTAACCTTTCAAAAGCCTTTTACCTTTACTTTAACCTTTTCTTAACCTTTTTCTCTATCTCCCATCCCCCCCCCCTGTCAATTACATGCGTATATTTTGTGAAAGTTGACTCGGAACGAAAAATCCTATAAATGAAGTTAGAGTTACTTAGAATTTATTTTTGTACATCATTAAAAAATATATATATATATAACTTTATTATATTCTGTATTCTTTATAATCTTGTTGTTAAGATTAATTTGAAGAACAAAATTTTATTAACTTTTGTCATTTTTTTAATCATCTTTATTTTCAATTTCCATTCAAATATTTTATGAACCATGGCAGAATGCGTATTGTCCGTCCGAAATTATACAAAAATAATATTATTTTAGTTACGGCATAAAATTTACAGAAAAAAAAATCCCTATTAATATGGAAACAAGTTTTATTTCGCTTTATTGCGGAAAAAAAATTACTATGCACTTCTGTACATTTTGCGATATAAATAAAACAATTAAAATATAATGTATAGGATGTAAAATTTGAATCCAATAGAGGAACGGAGAGGGCATCATAAAAAATGCAAACTCAATTTAATTGTGAGCGCTTGGTATAGCATGTAATTTAAATGGTATAACTTAATATTTATTCTTAAATTATGTATGCTAGAATGTTTCAGAAAATTCGATTTTAATTAATATATTGAAAAAAATATACATTATTCAGGTTATTTAAATCGTATCGCGCCGTAATTTTATTCATAAATTAAATTAATAAATATCCATTGATAATACAAATTATTATTAATTTTTACTTTTTTGGTTGACATTAAATGTAGATGTAAATAAAAATTGCAAATCAAAAAAGTTATTTTAATCATATAAAAATAAGAAATACAAATGTGCACTTTATTTTGCAGATTCAGTAACAAACAAACAAATAAAACTAATACTTAAAAAGAAAAGCTTGAATGACAAA